AGGGTGACTTTAGTATATACATGCACGCACACACACACACAGCAAAAGTAACAAATGAAAAATGGCCCATATACTGTTTCGTACACCCTTCTTTTCTAGCCTAGAGTCAAAGTTTGAAAAAAATTTCCTAGACTGTGGCTAAAAATACAGTAGTAGTTTCACTGGGACTAACAAGTGATGTTCTTACTCTTGCTATAGGTCCTTCATCTGCAGGATGAGGCTATCAAACTTGCCTAGTCGCTAGCAGGAGGATTAATTATGCATCTGCAGTGTGCTTTGAACTCCCTGAAGAAAGATGCCTTTCATGGCAGGCATCCCACTAGGATGGTGTCCCTCTGACTATTTTGAACAGATGATGCTTGAGTCAGCAGCTACTGAAACATGTCTACCCTGGGTGACCCTGCTAATATTTGAAATACTGGCAGCATAGCTTCCTACATCATGGCCACACACAAGCTATCACAGTATGACAAACTGAACAGATAAGTGACGAATGCTACATATACTTGGGATAAAACAAAGGTAAATAATGTTATACAATAAAATGTCTTCTTTCCACTCCTATCTTCCGGAGGTAAGCACTGTTTCACACAAATACTGTAGCTATTTCTGCATGTGCTGCTGTACAACAGTGTAAAATCATAGTCTATACATTTTTGCACTATAATCCTTTTTATTCTTGCCACTATAACTTAGAGAGTATTCCACTCTGGAACATACAGAACTGTCTCATTCTAATAAAAGTTGCATCTTATTCCATTCTACGGCTGAAACTATAGAATATGTAATTGATTTCTTACTGTTGGCTATTCAGCGATGTCTAATCTTTTGCTATTTCAAAAACATGCCATAATGACTATCCATGCATGACTAAGTGTTGGAGTCAATCTGAAACTTAAATTCTTATTCTTGTAAGTTAAGTGCCACCAAGTCAGTTCCCACTCGTAGCAACCCTGTATGGGGTTTCTGAGGAGTGACTGGTGAGCTTGAACCACTTACCTTGTGGTTGAAACCGACCTTGCAGTCCAGCACATTAACCCACAGTGCCACACGGGAACTCCTTAAATTAGAAGTGCAAATTAAGTCGTGTCAAATGTCTTACTGTAGATGTTATGCTAATTTATATTCTCATCAGTAATTCATGAGTGCCTGTTTCCCTACATAGCTCCATTTTTTCCCCTTCCTGGAACCTAGCTTTGTATCACTTAACCTGCATGTTTTTAAATGGTTTGTATTGAAGACGAAGTTCTGGTGTGGCACTATAGGATAAGCATTAGACTGCTAACTGCAAGGGCAGAGGTTCAAACCCACCAGTGATTCCTTAGAAACCCTTTATAGGGTCACTATGCATCAGAACTGACTCAAGGGCACTTACCAACAATTGAACACAGTAACACAAAAATTCCTTACAAGTTATTAAATTCACGAGCTGGGAGGACTGGTGGTGGTGATGTGCTGTGGAGTCGGTTCCGACTCACAACGACCCTGCACAGGGTTTCTGAGGCTGTAAATCTTTACGGGAGCAGAAAGACACATCTTTCTCCCACGGAACAGCTGGTAGTTTCAAAATGCTGACCTTGAGGTTAGCAGCCTGATTTGTAACCACTACGCTACTAGAGCTCCTTGGGATGACTGGAGAGGTCCTTCATTTAATGTGGTGGTGGTGTGCAGTGGAGCTGGTTCCGACTCATAGCAACCCAGTATAGGGTTTCTGAGGCTGTAAATCTTTACGGAAGCAGAAAGCCTCATCTTCTTTCCCGTGGAATGCCTGGTAGTTTCGAACTGCTGACCTTGAGGTCAACAGCCCAAGTCATATAACCACTACCCATAGCTAAGAATAAACTCTTCTGTCTTATTCTCAGAATAGATTATCACAATATATAGGAAGTTTATAAAGGGAAATAGAAAAATCCTGAATGTCCATCTAGTCAGAGTTATCTACATTGGAATTACCTGGGGAGGTGGGCAGGACTTTAAAAATGCAGAGTTCTGAGCCCACTTCAGATCTATGAAATTTGTAATCTCTGAGGTTAAGTTCTTATTGGTGATTACAACACACACTATCATTTGGAAACCACTGACCTATTCTTGTTGTTGGTGTGATGTGCCATGGAGTTGGATCCGACTCATAGTGACCCTGCACAGGGTTTCTGAGGCTGTTAATCTTTAAGGAGCAGAAAGCCTCATCTTTCTCTTGTGGAACAGACGGTAGTTTCGAACTGCTGACCCTGAGGTTAGCAGCCTGATTCGTAACCACTACGCTACCAGAGCTCCTGATCTATTCTTAGAACAGGAAAATTTGCAGACAGGCAAGTTCCCTTACTAATTAATTTTTAAAACTAAAAACATGATAGCTTTTTGTTGTAAAACTTCAAAATAGATAAGCAAAAACAGAGAATAGTAATACTATTCAGATAATGTTTTAAACACTGAAAATGAATCTATCTCATTTAAATCCTCACCGTAATCTTATGAATTTGATACAGTTATGAACCTTCTTCCCCCATTTTAAAGATAAATAGGCAGAGAGACTAGGTAATTTATACAACATCACATTGCTAGTCAGTGGTGTTGTTCATTGAGTCGGTCTAAGACTTTAAATCTTTGCAAGAGCAGAAAGCCTCATCTTTCTCCTGCTGGGTGACTGGTGGGCTTGAACCACTGACCTTGTCATTTGCAATCCAGTGCATATCTTATGAAACGACTGTGCTCCCCAATAGGTGGTGTAGTCATGATTTAAACTTGATTGTAAGACTGAAGTTGAATTCTAGAGTTGTTGTTAAGTGTCCTCGAGTCAGTGCCTACTCACAGTGACCCTACAGAGGGTTTATGAGGAGTGGCTGGTGAGCTTGAACTGCTGACCTTGAGGTTCAAACCGACCTTGCAATCCAGCATACTAACCCACAGAGCCACTAGGACTCCAATTCTAGAGTACTCCTTCAAGTAAAACTCGCTATAACCACACAACGGAAAAATAAAGACTGCTTCTCATTTGGTGTATGTGCTTTTATGTCTTTCCCCATTCATATGTATCTATGCATTTATCAGAGAAAATTTCTTTGCCATTAACCTATGCTTGATAGTCCCTCTTGTGCCTCACTGTCCTCTGGGTACAATAGGGAATGGGTACAAGAAAACAGTGGGAGTGAGATGGGATACAGAGAAGTAACCTCTGGAATATCTCCAAATAGTTATCTGTTATTTAGACATCCTTCTCATGTTCCTTTTATACCAAAATTGTCTTTCTATAAGGCTGTACCAATGTAATATTTAATATTTATTTAATTCTGGGGAATCCTGGCGTGGCCTTGTGGGATAAAGGACTAGACTGAAAGGTTGGTTTGAACCATAAGGTTGGTGGTTCAAACTCATCAGCCGCTCCTTGGAAATCTTCCAAGGAGTGACTGATGAGTTTTACATACGTTAGGTCCTAAATGTCCTAGACTTTCATTTGACTGTGGAATATTTAGTGTCTTTCTATCTTGTAAAAACTTATTTTCTCCAGTTAATTAAATTAACATCAAGGATATGGTGCTCAGAGATGCTCTCCAAAATAAGGAATGGTCAGACACTTGTTATATGAAATTTTATTGGCATGAATGGAACATCGCACACTCTTGCCTTTGGATGTGAGCCAGGAGGGTCACTCTAAGGCAAGAATTTCAGTACAGGTGCAAAAGTTAAGATAAGGTGTTTTCAGACCCAACATTCCACAGGTCTCTTAACTTTGAGGTTCCCAAGGAAAGAGAGTCCTGAGTTGGTTTTTCAGCTCAGCCTTAAGCCTGATGCTAAGACTTTCCACACAGTCCATCAAAATCCTGCTTTATTTACATTTTTCCAAACTCCAGCCTTTCTCCTGTAAGAGACTGGTCCGGGTTTCTCTGGAATATTTGCTCCCTTGTTGGGGAAAGGGAATCAATGCAAGTTTGTTGCTTACAGGTGTGTTCCCGTGGTCTTTAACTGAGGTTTATATCAATCCTAAAATGAAAACAAGCGTTCCTTTCAGTATCTTTTTACAATTTTTTTTTCTCTCAAAGCAAAAGATGGGCTCTTAGCTGTTTGTAATTGCAATTTAAATCTTGTCTGATGACACAAACTAGTCAAGATCATTACTGCTTTCAGTTCGGCCCAAACGGAAACTAGTAATGTTAATCTAGATCGCGACAATGAATCTAATACAAATTATCTGGAAAGACTATTTAGTCTGCCTGCTTCCTGCAGGTCTTCACTGGACTGGCTTATCCTAAACGTCAGCTCCTCAGAGTGCTTTCTGACCAGCCTCATCGTAAAGTACACACTAGTCACTGTATCCAATCACCTTATTTTATTTTTATCATTCTGAATGATCTTATTCGATCTTTCATAGGAGTCCTGGTGTGGCGCCGTGGGTTAATGCGCCAGACTGCAAAGCCGTTTGAACTGCAAGGTCGGTGGTTCAAACTCACCAGCTGCTCCTTGGAAACCCTTTATAGGGTCGCTATGGGTCGGAATCGACTCGACGGCACTCAACAACAACAACATCCCCATTAGAAATATAAATTTCAGGAGAAAAGGTACCACGACAGCTCTGATAGTCCGGCATTCCCGGTATATCTAGAACCTTGACTGATGCCTAATAGGTCCTCAACAAATACACTGAATGAGTGAACAAGTGTTTGTTCACTATTTCCCACTTTTTCTCCTTTAAACACCTACCAAGTACACCTACCTAGATTCCATCTACGGCTAAAAACGGAGGAAAGCATCCGGCTTCGCCATTGGCTGGAGCGTTTGTCGTTGCTCCTGGCAACCACTATTTCCCACTAGTCGAGTAGAGGCCACGCGCTTCTCTTTCGCCCGCCCCCAAGGACCGGCGGCCAGATTCAGCCGAAAAAGCGGGTGTTAGCCCTTTAAGCAGTGGGACTTCTGGTCACGTCGCCCTGCAGCCGCCGGAAGAGGAAGTGTCGCCTGCGAACGAGCCCTCGCTCGTCCGAATTCGGTGGCGCCACGTCCGCCGGTCTCCGCCTTCTGCACCGCGGCTTCGGCGGCTTCCGCCTCGACACCTTCCACTTGCGGAGCTAGCCACGTCGTGCGGGAGCTGAGACTGGGAGTTGGGTGACTGTGCGCATTCTGGCGACCTGAGAAGCGAAGATGTCGGATATCGGGGACTGGTTTAGGAGCATCCCAGCCATCACGCGCTATTGGTTCGCCGCCAGTGTCGCGGTGCCTTTGGTCGGCAAGCTCGGCCTCATCAGCCCGGCCTACTTGTTCCTCTGGCCGGAAGCCTTTCTCTACCGCTTCCAGGTATTGACCTGCGCCTGGAGCCAGTGGAGAGTACAAATTCTAGGTGGCTCCGCGGTGGTAGCGCGTCGGCCGGCGTGTTATGGACGCGCGGTGCTTAGTGGGATATGTAGTGCAACGGGCTCCAGCGCTTTAGGGCGGGGTCCTAGGGTTCCGGGTGGGAGTAGGTATAGGGGTCTGGAACAAGGGCCTGAATAACTGGAGCTGTGGACCTTACCCCGATGGGAAGGGACTGGGCTCATCCTTATAATAAGATTTTGTGTGCTGCTCGCTCTCAGCACTAAGTTAAGGAGACAGGTAGAAGGTAAGTCAGTGGCGTTTATCAATCACTGTAGTGCACACCGATGTTAAGAACTTTCAACAGCTATGGTTTTTAGCCTTGGGTCCACCTGTAACAGGTACCCTCAGACTTCCTTTTGCCGCTCACGTGGTTGGCTTGTGGGTGTCAGCCTAGCCAGTTTAGCGCTGAGCTCTGTCAACATTGATGTGTTTTTTTTTGTCTTCCTGTAGGAGGGATTTGAGGCCTGAGGTGCGGCAGAATGGGTTTATTTGGGGCTTTCCCCGAGGCTCTAACCTAGCATCTAGACTGTAGTAGCTGAATGGTAGGAAGAATGAGTAAAGAGTAAATTGCATCAGAAATGGAAGATACTGTCATTATTTGAGCTTGAAGGGAGAATCCAAAGTGATTACTTGGCAAGGGAATGTTTGTTTCCTGAGGGTTCTGTGGTTTAAATTTTAATTCGCGTCAGATACTGAGATCTGACATTAATTTTACTCTGACATTAACAGAATTTGGTCTGTGGGTAGTACTCTTGGCTCCCCCTACTTCACTGGCTATTATTTTTAAGTCTTTTTTTGGGGGTGGTCCCTAACCTCCCTGGTAGCATAGTGGTTATGAGTCAGGCTGCTAACCTGAGGGTCAGCAGTTCGAAACTACCAGCTGTTGCGCGGGAAAAAGATGAGGCTTTCTGCTCCCGTACAGATGTACAGCCTCGGAAACCCTGTACAGGGTCACTATGAGTCGGAACCAACTCCACGGCACATAACAACAATAACAACCTCTAAATGATGTGATGTGCCCCAAAGATCGGATATAAGACCTCTTTGTATTCCCCAAGATGTTCTCCCCTTCACCCTGGAAAGAAATAGCAAGTCTATTATTATAGGAGCTTGAGCTAATAGTTTTCGGGTCACCTCTGAATTTCTCTCTTTCATACACAGCAATTTGTCAAAAAATCCTGTTTACTCTGCCTGGGACATACGTCCAGAACGCAGTGCCTTCTCACTTTCCATTGTAAGCCAGCCTTGTGTTCCTTCCAGTCTTTCCTCTAAACAGCTAGAGTGCACCTTTCAACTATAAGTCATGTCCTGCTATTTCTCTGCTCAGAACCCTTCACTGCCTTGTCATTTTGCTGAGTAAAATCCAATGCCTTTCAATGGCATGCAAGACCCCCACTGCCTTTCTGGCCTTATCTGCCATTACTCTTTGTCTTGTACAATGGTATCCTTGTTCCTTCAGTATTTTAATGCTATCTCTTCTCAGGACCTTTACATATATTTCTCTGCTTAAGGAAGATAAGCCACGCCTATCTTCTTTCACCCTTCTGGTCTCTGCCCAAATGCTGTTTTATTGGTGAAGCCTTCTCTGAGTGCCCTACAGAAGATTGCACTCCTTCTTTACTCTACTGAACTCTTGCTTGCTACATATAACCTGTTGGTCAACTTTCCCTAAGAGAAGAAGGCTCCAGGAGAGCAGGATCTTTGTCTTGCTTACTACTGTCTTTGTCACCTAAAAGAGAGCCTGGCACACAACAGGTACTGTTGGTTGAATGCATGGAAATAATTGGACACCTGCTATGTGCTGGCCATTGGGGATATAGAAGTGCATAGGAAAGGCCCCAACTCCTTTGAAGAAAATAGAGGAAGGCATGTGATGAAGAGTAACAAAGATATAATACGTTGTCCTGAAAGATATTTGAACAGAAACTTGAACGAAGAAGGCAGCCTTAGGAAGAGATGGCTCTGGGGACAACTTTCCAGGGAGAAAGAAGAGTACATGAAAGGCGTAGGATCAGAAACAAGGAACAGAATGAAGATTCTGTGGCTAGTGTAGACATTGTAGGGATGTGAGTTGGTATACAAGGATAGGAAGACAGCCAGGGTGAGTGCTGTAAAGATACATGTTAAACTGGGGCCTGTTGTCACCCTCGGTTGCCATGGAATTGGTTTCATCTTAAAAGCAAGAGAACAAAAGGATGCCAGTCCTGAGTCACCTTCATGATGATTCGGTGTGCTTGAGTCCCGTGTGGCCGTGTCTTCCTCCCAACCTTGTCTTCCACACTGTACCACACAATATTCTGTTATGATCCCTAAGGATTTCATTGACTAATTTTTGAAAGTAGATTGTTAGCCTCCTCTTCCTAGCCTGTCGTAGTCTGGGAGCTCTGCTGAATCTTGTGCACTCCACTGTGGGTGAGTCCGCTGGTATCTGAAATACCAGCGGCATAGCTTCCAGCATCATGGCAGCACCCACGTCACCACAGCCACGCCACCACAGGACAGCACACCGATCAATGGCTGACGGGTGGTGGGGGCTGTGTAATGGATTTGAAGTTTTATTGTCAGGATACTAGGAAGTCATGGTATGGCACTGTAGGATAAGCACTGGACTGCTAACCACACGCTCAGCAGTTCAAACCCACCAGCCTCTCCTTGGAAACCCTGTACAGGCTTGCTTTGAATTGGCACCTACTTGAAGCAATGTAACAACACCAGGACGCCTTTGGAACCTCTTGAACAGAGGCTTGTCAAGACCTTGAGGACTCTGGGGTGGACTTGGTCTGTGGGTAGGGAACAGGGAAATTGGGTGTTGTAGCCCAGCATGGTTTCCATGTGAAGGGGCTGGGCTAGATAATGGGATCACAGACAAGTCAGGAGGCCAGAAAGGTGGTGGTTTGGACCAGGGTGGCTGTGAATGTAAAAGAGAAGTGGATAGATTGGGAGTTGGAATAGTTAAGATTGTTTGATGGGTTGGATATGGAGGGAAGAAGGGTGAAGGAAACACAATTCAATGAAGTCGCTGGTAACACACAAGTGACTGAGTGGACGGCAGAGTTGCTTTCTGGGATTGGGAATGTTTGGGGAGACTCAGGTTTGGGGAGGGCCGTGGCTAGAGTATATTTTTGTCATGTTAACTCTGAAATGCAATTTTGTGGTTAAAAAAAAAAATTCACCAATTCACCTTTTTTTATGGCTATAATGATCATGCTCATGCTATGTTGCCCTGTTTTGTAGACAACTGTAGTTTGTTTGTTTCTGTAAATCAAAGATGGTGCTAGGCTGTCTTGTTTAACTCCTGTACGTATACTATCTGTCAAACCACATAGCTAAGTGTATAGTTGTTGTGAAGTGTCATTGAATCGATTCCGACCCATATTGACCCTGTATAGGATTTCCAAGGAGCAGCTGGTGAGCTTGAACTGCTGACCTTTCAGTTCAAACGGCTTAGCAGTCTGACACATTAACCCACAGCGCCACACCAGGACTCCAAGTGTTTGTTGTTGTTAAGTGCCGTCGAGTGGATTCCAACCCATTTTAAGGTAATTTCTTCCAAATCATTCATGGTGGTGGTGTTAAGTGTCGGCCAGTCAATTCCAACTCATTGTGACTCTGTATAGGGTTTCTGATGAGCAGCTGGTGGGTTTGAACTGCTGAGCTTGCGGTTAGCAGTCTAGTTCTAATCCAACAGCGCCACACCAGGACTCTAGGCAGTTATTTTTCCTCCTCTTTTCTGTTACAGTAGATGCAGTTGTCACCACTGTTTGTCTCCATAGCATTCCTTCACCTTAAAAGAAACTTAGTGTCCCCTAAGTAATGGCTCCCCCTTCCCCTCTCTGCTCCCACCCTTGTTAGTGATGTCAAATTGGTTCTGACTCAGAGTGACCCTGTATAGGGTTTCCGGAGAGTGGCTGCTGAGTTTGAACCAGCGACCTTGTTTCAAACTGACTGTGTGGTCCAGTGTTTATTCTATAGTGCCACATCAGGACTCCTACCCTTGTGGTTGTTAAGTGCCGTCGAATTGGTTCCAACTCATAGTGGCCCGGTCTAGGGTTTCCTAGGAGCAGCTGGTGAGCTTGAACCGCCAACCTTGGTTTCAAATGACTTTGTGTCCAGTGCATTAACCCATGGCACCACACCAGGACTCCTACCCTAGGAACCACTAATTAATATGGGTCTCTTAGATGCTTTTAGGGATCTAGGAGGGGAAGTCACTTGGTGTAAGATCATGATTCTGCATGGTGGCCAGAACTGTTTCCGTTACTTACTGGCTCTAGTGAAGACTTGATTGAGACTGAGTGAATGCTCTGCTCTGAGTGCCTGGTGACCTGCTGGGAAATATGTGTCACATGGAGCAATGGTGAATCACGTTGTTGGAAGGACCTGGTCAAAACTGGCTCTGTGACCCCGCTTGCAGAATCTTGCTCACTTGTGCAGTCTGCTTAGTGAAGTCAGTAACGAAAGGCGGCCTTTCTAGGGGCAGGTGTACATGGGAAAAAGGGTGAACTGATGTGTGCTCTCCTTTAGAATCATCATTTATGTCTCTTTACCAGGGATTACCCATCCTCCGGCCCTTGGTTGCTTCTTCTGGCCTTGTTGCTCTGAGTCTGTGAGGCTGACTGTGCAGGTGTGAAAAGAAAGAGCCTGTACCCTGTCTCTCCTTTCTGATTCTCTGAGTCTGACCCATGCTGGACAACTTTCAGTTCCCTCTGAAGGTGCTCGTTTACAAATGAAGCAATTGAGGAACCCACACGCACGTGATGCGTCTTGAGAGAGAGAGGCTGACTGCCAGCCACAGAAAATGGTGGTGTGTTTAGCATTTCTTCCCAGGCTCATTTTTTCCTTTAGAAGCTGAATCTTTAATGAAGACCTTGAAATTTTTATAGACCTTCTTGCACTTAAAAAAATAAATAAATAAAGGAGATGATTTTTTAATTTAAACTTGT